TTTTTTTTTTTTTTTTTTTTTCAGAATTCAAGAATGGATAAAGGAAAATGCCATCAATTTGTAGTACGCACATTTTCTTCACCAACCAAATGTAACCATTGTACATCCTTGATGGTGGGTCTTGTACGCCAAGGTGTTATATGTGAAGTGTGTGGATTTGTATGTCACACAATATGTGCTGACAAAGTACCATTATTATGTCCTGTTCCTCCTGATCAAAGTACAATAATAGTTATATATGTGATATTTACATTATTAATGTTTTATTTTTTACTATAGCTAAAAGACCATTGGGAATTGACCCAACACGTGGCATTGGTACAGCATATGAAGGATATGTAAAAGTACCTAGATCAGGTGGAGTAAAAAAAGGATGGATTAGACAATTTGTAGTAGTTTGCGATTTCAAATTGTTCTTATATGACATATCACAAGATCGTAATGCTCTTCCTGCTGTAACAGTCTCACAAGTTTTAGATATGAGAGATCCTGAATTTGCTGTATCTTCTGTAAGAGAATCAGATGTAATTCATGCTGGTAAAAAAGATATACCATGTATATTTCGTGTAAGTATAACACTAGTAATATCGTAAAATATTAACATTTATATTTGAAACAGACTTAAAAAATAACTTTAGACAAAAAAATATGTCTATCATATTCATAGAAATAAAAATATTAATTATCAAAGATACTTACTATTTTATACCCCAAAATTAAAAAATTATTTTAATATTAAGAACTAGGCACATATTCAGTAAAAGAGTTCATATAAATCTCTCTTTTCCTAAAAAAAATTCTCAATCGCTTAATTTTAATGAAGTTAAAATAAATTCTTTTGAGTGAAGAAGGTGAAATTTTTATATAAAAACCTCCTCTCAAAAATTTTACTACATGTCTGTGAAAATATATTTTAAATATAATAAAAGTAACTTAAAATAAAAAGTTTATTCAATTGACATTTTGCTATTATTATTTTTAAATAATAAAATCATTTAAATTTAAAATAATTTAATTAATATTGTATAGTCTCATTATTACTTTGAGTGTAATTTTTTTTTTATAAGCAAAAAAATTTATCATTAGCTTAACCAAATTCAGCGCATAACGTACAAAATCATTTGAGTGCACAGCTTTTATTATATGGTATAATCAAAAACAATTAAATTAAACAGGTATAAATTATAATACCTGTTAGTAATAATTTCATAGTTAAACAATAATTATAGTATTTTTTGTAATAAATGTATTATTATTTATATTTTATTATTGTACAATCTAGATTACTACATCACTTTTGGACCCCCCTGGTGTTAAAAACCAAACTTTAATGCTTGCTGATACAGAAAGTGAAAAAAACAAATGGATTGTAGCCTTGAGTGAACTACATAGGATTTTAAAACGAAATAATCTTCCCAACACAATGGTATTTTAACCACAAAATTAATGAATTTTAAAAAATAGTTATATTTTACAATTTATTCCTTAGATATTCAAGGCCAAAGAATTAATGGACAATACTCTTTCAATTACCAAAAATGCTATTTCTAGTGCTGTAATTGATGCTGACCGCTTAGTTATTGGTACTGAAGATGGTCTTTATTGTATAGACCTGGACCAATTCGGTATAGTGTAATATTATTTATACAGAGTGTTTGAGTTTAACTGACAAAGCTTATAATTTTTGATCCAGTTATTGTTTTTGAAATTTTTAAAAATAATTATTGTTTTATACTATGTTCAAAGCATACTTTTTATTATTTTTCACTAATAAGAAATAATTAAAATTTAAAATTTAATTTTGAATTTTGAATTTTTTTAAAGAAGCCACTTTTAGACCTATTTTCAAAAAAAATTTTATTGGTTGATAACAATTTTTAAGACAAATACTTATTGAATACAACATTTCAATACATATTGCGTATGGAACACAGATGGATGCTTCTAATACTATGTCCGTGTTCTATTCCTATTCTATATATTAAAATTTTTATAACTTGATAAGTACTTGTCCTAAAGTTATCATCGTTTCATCAAAATTTTTTGAAAATATAATTTTATGATTTAAATATAATTTAAATGTAGGCTAAGAAGGAAACAAATATTTAAAAAAAAATGTCAACAAAATGATTATTGTAGCAAAAATTATAAGCGTTGTTAGTTAGATCTAAGATACTCAGTATAATGGTAAAATGTTGTATTAATAATATATCATTTTAATAATAGAAATTGCTAAAATTGGAGAAGCCAAAAAAATTTATCAAATTGAATACATAACAGAAGAACAACTTTTGGTAGTTTTATCAGGCAAACAGAGACAGGTTCGATTAATACCAGTGAGAGCATTAGATGGTGATGAAGTTGAATGGGTTAAAGTTACTGAAAGCAAAGGATGTATAACTTTTTGTACTGGTTTATTGAAGAAATTTACAGGGAACACTAGTGGTATGAATAACCCTCAATATTGTTTGTGCATAGCTATTAAACGTCAGGTGATTAAGTATAAAAATATATTACAGTAAAATATTCATTTAATCATGAAATTATTCATTTTTATTTTTATTCAATAATGAATAACACATTTTCTAACATGTATTGTTAATTTGTACAAATTAATTCTATTGTTTATATTCTTTAATTTACAGAACACTTCTCAGGTAATTGTCTATGAAGTAATTAGAACCAAACAAAGGCATAGAAGAATTAGAGAAATCATGCTCCCGTCTCATGTTCAAAGTTTAACAATATTTACTGATGGGCAATTGTGTGTTGGTTGTAATTCTGGATTCAATATGTACAGATTATCTGGTGCGGATCATCATCCAATATGTAAGCTAGTGATTGATTATTAGTTATATTTACAATTAAAATTTGACTATATTGATTATTTATTCTTTTTAATATAGCATTGGTGCATCCTGATAATCGCATGACAGGTTTCTTATCCTACTCTGCAATGGATGCCATTAAAGCCATTGAACTTCCGAGAGGAGAATTCTTATTAATTTTTCAGTCTCTTGGAATTTATGTTGATGCTCAGGGTCGCAAATCTAGAGATAGAGAAATTATGTATCCAAGTGACCTTATTGATGCTAGTATGAAAATTTAACTTAAAATCTTAATTTTTAATAACTATAAAGTATATCAATTTTTTTTTATTTTACAGGTTATTGTGATGGTCATTTGTTGATATACAGTGAAACACATGTAAATATTTTCAATGCAGATAGTGGCGAATGGGTCCAAACATTAAATTTAAGAAATTCTCATCCTATAAATAATACAGGTTCACTAACCATCTGTTATATTGATGATTTCCCTTATATTGTATATTTATCTAACATACATCAAAGTAAGACCCTTCAAATTTTATTTTTTGATTATTTATCAACTTATATTAACTTATTTTTCAGGAGAATTGATAAATATTAGAGATATTTCAAGTTGTAATATGTCTATCTCCACGCCCACACGTAGAAGGTTTTCTATGCGTGAAAGTCAAAAAGCAACCAGAGGTCCGGATCGTAGGTCAAAGATCATATCAGCTCCTACAAATTTCAATCACATTAGTCATATGGGACCTGGAGATGGTATACAAATTCAAAGATTACTTGACCTGCCTACAACTGTTGAAACTGCAGATTCTACTGTCTCACCTCTCCCTCCTTCAAAAGTATATATATATAATGGAAAATTTTTTGATTTATACTTCTAACTAATTGATTTTTTTTTAGCCTCCTCAACAGTTTAATATTTCTACATCTTCTAGTAAACGTTCTTTTCAAATGTCACCATCCCAACAGCCGACAGCTCTTATGACTGGTAAGAGCATTTTTTTATGATATAATTACTACTCAAATATTAGTGAATATTTTAATTTTGTCAAATTTTAAATGTATTAATTATTTTTTATTTAAAAGTTTTTTTAAAAAAAATTTCAGGACCTAAAAGATCTCTGCGTACAACACCAACAGAGCCATTTGAATATCATCATCAACACCATCATCACCATTCAGACACAGAAATGGCACCATCAAATGTACCAGTTAACCGTAGTATATGGTCACTAAACAAAGTAAAAAACACTTTTATACTTTATTTGTATGAACTTTTTCTTTTTAATTTTTCTTTATTTATTTTTAATTATAATTATAATTGTAATTGTGAAGGATCACCAGCAGCTAATTGGTACTTCTAGACAATCCATTACATCTAACAATAGTAGTAACACCAGTACACCACCAAGTCCAAACCGAGAACATGGGTCATCTAGTTATGACAGCTAGCTTAATGGTAATTTGTGTAGTACTGTTACTTTACATGACATTTTTACTATATAACTTTAAATTCAGTAGTATTTACTATTACTTGATACAATATAGTTAGACAATTACAATACTTTGATAAAGAACTACCTGGTTCAAATTTAACAATTAAACATTTTATTAACAGCATAATTTCTAAAACTCTTTATTTTTTTAATTTTATTTTTTTTTATAATCTTCTTCTAATCGAAACTTTAGTTCATAACCCTATTTAAGTGTTAAATAAAAAGTTATAACATTAACTATAATATTAATTTTCCAGCTTATTTTTGTTAATTAATTTTCAAAACATATTAATATCTCCTAGTTTGCATTTAACTAAAATAAGATCATAACTTAATATATTTCATTATAACTAATTTTTAATTTTTTTTTTTTTTTTGTGATACTAACTCAATTTTATTATTGTAGTATTGAATTATTATATAAAATTATCAACAAAACACTAAGAATAAGTCTTAGTGAATTATTATGTTAATTTGTTTATTTAAGTAAAATAGAAATAATTTTAATCTAATAAGTATTATTATAAAATTTATACATTTCAAATGTCTAAATATATACAGCATGTTCAAAAGTATGGAATTGGGTCTATTGTTGCAAACAATAAGAACAAAAGAAACCTATTTCCTTACTTACTAAACATTATATATAATATATAACCCTTTATGATAGGTATAATATAGCGTTATAAATTTCTTATGTATGCATATAAAATTAATTTTGATATTTTATATATTATACTAATGAATTATTAACAAAAAAATTAATAAAATGTGTTGAATTTAATATTGGCATTTGAATATCAATAACGAATTTGCTTTTATTTAATAACAATTTACTTAATAGTATTATTTAACATTTATAATAATTATATTTTATTGATAATGAACAAAATGAGCTTCAATTTATATATATAATATATGTTCAATTATTTGATTTCTTTGTACGATATTTTGAATTTTTTAGAAAAGTAATTTATATTGTTTCTTAAGTTATAACAATCCCCCTAAATATTTTTAAAATAATATATTATAAAGTGCCAATATCATTTTGTAAGTTTTACAATGCTTATTTACATTTATTATCGTTTTTAAAATAATCATTCAAAAATGTACAATGATATTTCTTTAAATAGAGATTTTGAGTAATTAAAAAAAATTAAGAATTATTTAACATACATGATTATTTAAACAATACTATTAATAAATGTATACACATAAAATAATTAATTAAATGTTTGACAAAGAAGCTATTTAATATAAATGTTAAATTGTACTGCAGCTTAAAAAAATGATCATAACATCTATTTAAGTTATTTATTTTTTGTCAATTAAATTAATAGTTGGCGTAAAAACATTGAATAAATAGTTAAATTTTAAACAAATTTTTAGAACATAATTTGTAATATAAGTGCACAATTATGTAATATCTAGTATAGATATTATAATTATATATATTTATTTATAAATATTATCATTACATAATATATTGCACAAATCTATTCATAATAAGTAGAATTTAATTTACTTTAATTAATCTTATGATTAAATCAACAAAACAATTTTTATACAATTATTGAAATTTGACAATAAATTTTTATTACTTAGTTGTAGTAATTAGTAACTATTCTATTATATTTATTACTATTTCAAAACATTAATTCTACTGAGTTGAAATTTATGTTTTTTCAAAATATTCTAGTCCATTAAAATTTTATAATTTATTGTACAAAATTTAGTTTATATATTTTATTTATAACTATTGTTACTATTTTAGTATTTTGGATACGCTTCTTTAATATTGTATACCTTTTTATATTATTTTTATTTGTATAATATAAAGAATAGAATTAACAATAATAGCAATTAAATTTCTATTATACAATTTTTAGGTTTTGTATATAAATTTACAGCATTCTTTAAAATTTGCTGCATTTTTTGTATACATTTTTTAAATTAGTGAAATTATTATGTTTTTATTGGTCAAAGAACATTTATTAAATTTTAATGTAAAAAATGTTTGTAAAATTTTAAAAATGTTTTCAATTTTTTTGTTTTAATATAGGGAAGTACATAAAAATAATAATTTGTTATCATTTAAACATTAGCCTTGAACATTATAATGGTGATTCTTTGAATTATTCTATTTATATAGACTGAGTATAATAAATTATTATACTTATAAAAAATCTATTTGGGCTTAGATTATTGATTTTAGTATTGATGTAAAGTTGAGTAGGTATTAATTTTACATGATATATTTTTTTTTTTATGTCTGTTACCACTTGTTCTCAACTCTCACTGGACCGATAATGATGAACTTCATATTCTTTTTCTTCGCCTGACTGAATCCCAACTACTTGGGGTCGGCCACCCTTATCCTAAACTTCCACTTGACACGATCACCCACATCATCTACGCTAACTTCAGCTGTCCTCATATCGCATTTAATAACATCCCTCCATCTCTTTTTTGGTCTTCCTTTACCTTTTCTTCCTTCAACATTCATTTCTATAACTATTCTTATAGCTTTCGATTCTTCTCTCCTCACGACATGACCAAACAATCTAAGTCTATTTTCTCTCATCTTATCCACGATTGATGCTACATCTATACTCCCTCTTATATGCTCGTTCTTTATTCTTTTTTTTTTAGTCACTCCACTCATCCATCTAAACATTCTCATCTCTGCTACAATCATTTTCTGCTCTACTTTCTTATCAACCGCCCCACACTGAACCATACATCATAGATGGCCTCACTACAGTCTTGTAGAATTTACCTTTTAACCGATTCTGATGAACAATGTGTTAAAATATTACAAATCGTTTCAAATGGATGACATTGGACTCAAAAATTAAAAAAAAATTCCTCGTTTCTTGTGATGAGGGAAATCCCAGAAAAAATTACTAATTTAAAAATCGCTAATTTTCGACATTCTTTTCAATTTTAGCTTCGATGCGAAGCTGAGAAAATATTAATTTTACCATGATGAGTTTTTTTTTTTTTTTTATGTCTGTTGCCACTTTTTCTCAGCTCTCACTGGACCGATTTCTTTCAACAATACGTCAAAAGATCACAAATCATATCTAGTTGAAGACATTACACTTAAAATTTGAAAATTTTTCCCTCGTTCCCCGCAAATGGGGGAAATATCCAAAAAAATTACAAATTTAAAAATCGATAAATTTTGTCTTTTTTTTCTTAAAACTTCCATAACTTTTTCAAAAATCAACATAATTTTTTTTTATACTAAAACCTTAGATATTTCCCTTTTATTTGATATCATTTTTTTGAAAATCTAACACTTAATCTGCTCACAAAGGGGATTTAAAATAGCAACTTTTTTACAAAAACTAACTTTTTCAACTTAATTTTTGAAAATGTTCCGGAAATACTGCGTCCTTTAAACATATATCAAATTAAAGCTTATTTTATGTACTATAAAATGAAAAAAAAAAATTTGTCCCGACGACCTATCTTCTATGCGCAAATGGCTACTGTATTCAAAAATATGCTATTTTTCTATTAAAATTCTAGGTTTTGTATTTTATTTTATTATAAGAGGATTACACTGATTTTCATAAATATTATATCAATCTAAATGACATAGTATAAAAAATTAATCGTATTTAAATTTTTTTGTTTCTTTGAAGTCGAAAAAAATAACTTTAAAATTTGAACTAGCTAAATTTCCATTTTTATTAAGTGACGAATGAGACGTACGGTTTTTGAGACGGTAACACTTGGGTCTTTCACGACTGTGGCACTGAATTTTTTTTTAATTCTTTTTGAGTTAAANTATGACTGTGACACTGAATTTTTTTTTAATTCTTTTTGAGTTAAAAAAAAATGCTTAACTCTTTTAATTTTTATCTCATTTAGATTCAATAACTTCAATAAATATCAAGGATTCCATTACTGTAGTCTCCTCTCGTGAGAATTAATTCATATTAATATTATTTTACTATGTGGTTTTTTTTTGTAGCTATCATTTATTTTCTCAGCTCTCATTTGACCTACTTTTTTGACAAATTTTTTTTTTTTAATTAAACACTATCTACAGATTTGCATCGAAGCGTTTTTTATGATAGTGATTTTAATCACTGTCAGATATCATCTATACTGGACCCAACTATGCCACGACCCCACTGTGCTGGGTTTTTTATTATGTAAATAACTAATATTTTTAAAGAAAATGAAATATTTTGGAAAAACTAATCTATTTCATAAGCTTAACTAGAATTCAATTTTCGAAAGCGCTAAATTTATTTCTCCCTTACTATAAACTTTGGATGCGATTCTATATAAAAAGTTTCGATATTTTTTGTTTTTTGGATAGGGGCTAATTCTATTTTTGGGAAACTAGCCGTTCTTATAGTGCCCATGATTTGTTTGCGACTGAGGATATGTCTATTTCTCTAAACAAAAGTTATAAACATGTCTTTAATAAATTGCAAAATACCACTTTACATAAAAAATATATAATATAGTGGTAAAATAAGTACTAAAATTTTTTATGCTTTCTTTAAATTTTACATTTGAAAAATAAAATAAGAAATATTAATATTGAATAAATATAAGATACGTGGGAAATCTAGTTATTAATGATTATTGTCTTTGTAAAGAAAGTAGATGCTTTTAAAATGCAAAGATTTATTGTAATGTTATTAAATCTGTTACGATTATAGCAAATCTAATAATAATATAATTAATACATTAGAAATTTAAATTTTTTAATCAATCAAATTTGTTGAAAATCTAGTATAAAAATTATTAATTCTGTAATCTGAATTTATGATTTAACACTGAGACTAAAATGTATAATGTACATTCTAGAATACGCGTATATTATAAGAGTATACTAAAAACCACTACAACCAAAGAAAAACCTCAATCAATTTTGATAGAGAAATTTTATCAAGGGTTTATGATAATGTTTTATTAATACGAACAAAATAACTATTCTTATGAATAATTATTGTTGAAGACAAGAAAAAAAATTATCATATTGATAAATATATCATAGGTTCAATTGTAATGATGTATTTATCAAATTGAACAATGAATTTATTATATAGATCGAGGTTTTTCTCTGGGTGTACAACTCGAAGTGTAAAGCGCTCTTACTACAGAACTCCCTGCGTTATATTAACGGAAATAAGGAGGAATTGAAGGTGGATTTTAATATTAATTATTTATTTATTTACACGTAATAAAACTGAAAATGTTAATATATTTCTAAATAACACAAATAGTGAAAATAAAACTTAACCTAAATGATAAATAACTACAGGCGTATTATTATTTTATGAATCATACATTAATTTTTCATGTTGTTTTTATAGTAATTGAAATTTATTTATCAAAATATTCGTAAAATCCTCTACAGCCGGGTTCCTATTACTCGTCTATTTTCAGAATATTCGTTATTTGTCTATATTTATCAACCAGTGGGAATGGTCTACTTGTACGAGTGTTCGACATTCGTTCATCGGCATTCGTCATCTTCCCGACGGTTGTAGATATTTGTGATATGAATCAAAGAGATTTTAAATATTTGTCCGAATACGCGATAGGTGGGAACGGTCTACTAAGCTATGTTTTTTATTTTAACGAATACTCGTTCAAAATCTATACTTTATTTATTTTAATTAATTGTTTCTTTTATTATTTGTTTCAATTAGTTCATTGAATAAATTTTCAATTGTATTATATTATTATACTAAGTGATATTTAAACACTTGCCAATCAATTATCCTTGAAGTAATGAGTTTTTTGAAAATATCTTTTTAGGATTTTGTTAGTTACGTCTCAATATACCTGTTATAAAATATTGTTTTTATGTCCATTTCTTATATCCTATAGAAGTGACAACCAATATAAGAAAACTTAGAGATTATAAACTTTTAAAACATTGATAAGTTTTTTTGTATCGAGTATTCAGTAACAATACAAACATGGAAAAAACAAAATAACTTTACAAATTGACGAGTATTCGAAACGGCAATGTTTTTGTACTTTTACGAGAAGACGAATATTTGGATTCTCCTTATATTCGGCAAATAGACGAGTAAAGGGAACCCAACTTAAACCAAACCGTTTGCCATACGAACAAGACACCAGTAGTTTTCATTGTAGTCCATAAGGTTGTATGCACAATGATAAAAATTAATGTTAATTATTCACTATTACCTGGAAGAATTTGTTGGTAGGACTAGTTATTAACTAACTTTACCGACATATCTATTAACAATTACTGATACACATTTTACTATTATTGTGATATTATGTAAAAGCTATTTCATACCGTGTAAAATTATACTTATTAACCTGTTAAAATAAAAGAAATCGTTAAGTTTTCAAATATCAAAGTTCATATATTTAATTTGAATCTATGAATAGCCACTTGTATTCTATTCAATTGATATCCGAGGTCCTCACCAACATCCTGTTGAATGAAAGTAACTAGATACTTCAGCTAAATATATGATTTACAGTTCAATAAATACTTGATATACATTTGGTTTTTGCTAACTTATTTTATTGCGATATTTTAGGAGTTAAAATTTAACTTTAAATTATCAAAGTATTGAAATGTTTATATTGCAATAAAAAATCAATAACAATTGTACTAAGTAATCGTAGAGAGTGATTAACGACAGTTATGGTAATGACCGAGACAGTTTAATATTTTAAATTATCAGTACTATTATTAAACTGTAATTTATAATATATTTGGTGTACGGCCAAGACAGATTAGTTTTTCAACAGTTCATTGTATGTATTTTCATTGCGCTTACGCGGAGCTCTAGTTTAAGGCAATTGTATGGGTAAATACCTAATAGATGTACCTGCTCATATAAACTATAATTAAATGAAAAGCAAATTTAATATGTTTGCGTATGTAATCACTGTTTATTATTAATAATTGGTACTTTAATAGGCCATTCTGACCACTGTCGTGAAAACCAGTTGGATATTTCATGAAAATCGAACGTGTCCGGTATAACATGACAGTAGCGCATTGACCCACATAACATATACCTCAGGTACATTCATTCTACACAATAATATTATTTTATTATAAACGTTGTTTTCCCGGTCTCGTACCTCACGTGGCGGCGCGCCTTCAGTTTCGTTCACACTGCCACCGAGATCACAGCATTCACTGCCACAGTCGATTTACTGAATGTCAAGTGCACGCGCTCCTCTGAATCGATAAAAACTGTGCACTGCCAACGTCTTAATTGTTTCTTATTCATTGGTCTTCAACTCAATAGCCAATAATAATATTTTAGTTGTCCTTACTTAACTTTTAGGGCTCGAGTTAATTATCTTGTGCGGTTTTATTGATATTTAATGTGATATTAGTGACGCTCTAATCATGGTACAAAAGTAAGTAATAGAAATTATTCTATAATGAACTTTTTTGACTTTAAAAAGTCACAGAAATATTAGCGCAACGTTGAAATGAATATATATTTTTTTAATTAGATACTTGATTTATTTTTCTTAAAACATAATATGATGTAATTAAACATCTCTAATACTCAATACTAGGGAATTTTTAAATCATGAAATTTGTGAGGGTTTCATAGTTTTATAATCCAATCTTTGTTACATTAAGAAATGTAAATTAACACATTAATAAAATTAATTGTTCGTTTAATATTTTCAGTAACACATTATTTTACAATTATATTTTCTTAAGATTTATAAAGAATTTAGCTTTTGAAAGATAGAAAATTATTTGAGCTGATTTACATCTTTATGTAATTAAATGATTGTTAAATTATTTACAATTTTTTCAACTTACAAATGAACTTGGAATGTTATTTTATTTGGGGTGTTAAATTTTTACTTTAAAACTTTATTATTAAATTTACTATAAACTATTTTAATTTAAACTATTAATTACTTATCTATTGTAAGTTTTTATTTAATTTCATCAACTTTTCATCAAAAAGTTAGACTTAATCAGCTTGATCAGATTTTTATAGAGCTATGACAACGCTATGATTAGCGTAACCCGTTTGTGAAATTAATTTTGAACTACATTTTTGCTCATAACTTTTATTTCAAGCGACCAAACCCCCACAATTTTTAACCTCGCAGTATACCTTTAAATGTTATCTATAACCTAATAAAGTTGTGATCATGTCTACTTATTTTAAAACCTACTTATCCCGAAATAATTTACTTTTAATAGTCTACTAATCATCCGCATACAAAATAATCAAATTAAAAGTAAAACAATTATTCGAGTGAAATCAAATCAGTTAGGGCGTACTATAATTTCTTTTTTGCCAAGTTCTTGGATCACAAAAGACACGTATATAATCATTTTCAATTATCTTTTTGGATTCCGACGCACATCTTTGTCTTCATAATTGCATTCGACTTTCCCGCGTCCTAGGGCGTATTCCAAATAATAACACATGTTTTATTATGATATGCCATTTAGGTTTACATGCTATTATTGACCATTCTGCAATAGAGGACGGTTACATGTTTTATTAGAAATAGTTGTCATCATTAAGCAAATATTAAATGTTAAACTCTAAAAATGCGATTATAACAACGCTGTTTCTATGATCTAATCTTTTCTGGAAATATTGCAAACAATATAACAACTTTTTTAGTATCTCAACAGGTTTGGAGTTGTTTATACTTAATTTCTACCAACATTTATTGACTTCCCTGAATAAAAAAAAAAAAAAAATTATAAAACTTCACATATAGAAGTGTTTAAAAATAAACATATCATAATGTGTAAACATAGTTAAAATTGGGGCCACAACTCTCTATAGAAAATGTGACCAACAATTGAGTAAATGAAATATTAGATACAATCTTAGAGTTCCAAATCGCATATTTCTTTGTTAACTACTTTGTAAGACTTTTATTTATTTGGAAAATTAGAAAGACTATCAAACTATGTATTTACAGTTTATCAGTAAAAACTGAGTTCGTGAAGTTGAGGTCGTTGCACCTATAGTTTGTAATATTAATAAAGAAGTACGCCTATATTAATGAAATACGCCTTTTTAGACATAATTGAAAACCCAAATGAATGATTTCTTCAAAAACAACAAATAACTATATAGGTACATGAATGGTACAACAAGGATACAAAACATGTTTTTCTGTAGTAAATAGGTCTAGAATAAAAGTATTCTAATGGATCACGTTAATAACTGTGTACCGTTTTTATGATTTGAGATATGCTTAAAATTAGTCGTTTTATTGTTTAATTAAATTAGCCAAAAGCTCAAGCCAGTATTGAATTTATTAAAATTTATTTATTCTTAAAACGCCAGAAATTAAGAGAAATCTCAAGAAAATCAGGACGACGATAACATTAAATTTGATTATGACAACTTACAGAGTACGCAGTGGAGCAACTCGCACAAAACGAGTTTATGTTCAGTATTTCATGATCAAATCCGATATAGGAGTTGATTCGCATGTGTACTTATTTATTATTATATAGTCGTCACTGATTTCACTTGGTCCAAAATCCTTGAAAAAAACTGGGTTATTTCAATAAAAAGTTGCTATTTAATATTTTTAATTACTTTCTTCCGCGTGGTTTATCTAAAAAAAAATTTACATATATATATATATATATCTTTTATTGATACCAATATTTTTAAATAGTAACATATACATTTTAATAGATCCAATGTTAGAAAATTATTCATTAATAAGAATATGCATTTATTAATAAGAAAATTGGTCAATAACAACTTTTGAACCAGTATTTAGAAGTAATAAACATTATATTAATTTAACTATGTGCATATTGTAATATTCAAGAGGTATAATAATGAGGTAAAGAGGTATGGAAGGAAGCACTCATATCTCTGTGTGCTTTTCATAATTTTATCATCCTTTAGAATATGTTTTTGTTGCGTCACTAATTCTAAAGTACTACAATTGGCTTTCCTATAACACACTTGAGACATTGAATATTTGGCCATCCCTAATAGACGACCAAATGTTTACTTGAACTATAAAAACTCAAAATTTAATTGTTCTTTTAACTTATAAACTTTAGCTAGGCGCTAAAATACTTAGAGGAGAAGAGAAAGCATTTTACTATTTTTGTTTTAAGTGAGAAGGATTTTTCAAAAGTTGACCTTAAGAATATAATTATGACTTTGCGGGGTATTGCTCACACGGCTACCTCTATTGTATATACACCTCTCATTAGTTACTAAATATTTTTTAATTTAGATGAAATATTCTACTATGTATATATAGTAGAATTCAAAATATTTAACAGTTAAAAATTAATAATGAGTAAAATTGTGACATTTTTATTATAATTATTATTATAGTTGGAAAACTTGATACTTTGTATCATGTTACTAATATATATTCCTAATATAATATATAGCGGGCCAAAATATAATTATTTATACATTTAATTATTTTCTAAACAACTTGTGAATGATGGTTCTATTAGGATACTTTTATGGTTTATATATTAAAAATATAAAAAAACGCAGCCGAAGATTAATTTAAAAAAAAATCATTTAATCTACATACCAAATAATAATATTATAATATTTTTGTTAGTATTTCTATTTTTAAATATTGCTATTATTATTTTTAATTTTTATTATTTTAAATTTAAATATTCAATTATTGTAAAATTAATTTACCCAATCATTTCATTCCAAAAAAGCTCTTGTTCATAACATATACAAAAACAATATCTAGTCTATTGATTAACCTACTTTTAGCATGTAATTGACATGGGCGAATTGACAAAAGTAATTTCCAAATAGTATTTCAGTTATAAAATCTAGAAAAAAAAATGCATTGGCCTTTTCTATGTGAATTAAAGAGTCATAACTTCTATTTTTTTCCGTCATGTTTGCGTGACAGTATTAAAACGTGACTATATATAATACGCTACAATTAATAAAATAAAATAAAAACCGACCTTATTGCAGACTCATGATAGGGATCAAGACTGCTAACGATTACAATTATGTTAATTAATAAAAATAACTAAAAGAAAAATTACTTATCTTATAATTGTCTTCCTGAAAATTAATTCTAATGGAAGTAGAATGCATTAGAAATTGTTTTAAATGTTAACATATTTATTTTTTAAGTGTATAAAATACAAATATTAAGAATACACTAATCATCATATATTAAGCAAAAATCTACAAAAGTACTATTCATATAAGTAAAAGTAACTTTATAAATTATTTTTTACATTAACAAATGAATTATTCATAGTGAATTCCAACCAGATTTACACGATTTATAAATGATCTCTAATAGTATTAATTATAATACTTGTAATAAGGAATACTAGTGATTAGAAAATTTGGATATTTTTACACAAAGAAAGTGTTTGTATCATTTCAGGTACTTAAGTTAATTATGTATTTTATTTTCAGACGTACCAAAGTCTTACAAGTGGGCTTTTTATGTTTGTATACTATCCAACTGTTGTTCACACAAAATACAGCAGACGAAATCAGCTCTAAGACTGGCGCTGAATTCCTTCATAATATCATTAGCAATTTGCATAGATCACCTCATCATAAGCACAAGTTGACCAGGCCAACTATAGTGACAGCTAAGGATAGGATAGACGTTGAAGAGTACATACCTGGAGATTTTCAACAGTCTAATCCACGAGTTGAAGATTTAAACATATTATCAAAGATACCTCAAAATATTAACAGTTATTTACCAAAAGTACATGATATCACTAATAACTTTAATAAATGAATTTTTGTAATCGTGGAGACTTTTAATCTTATAAAATTTAAACTCGTTATAATTTCATTTTTTGAATCAATTTTGCGATTGTTGTGATAAATAATATTTGATTCAATAAAAACTATTTTATACGTGTCTTAAAATCCGTCAATTGTAAAAGATCTTGTGACCTATAATACATAGACACGAGAAGGTCACTGAAATGTCTACTGTAATGACTAATCGAACAGGAAAATAAGGAAATAATACTTTCCATTTAGAAAGTAATAAATAATTCTAAATGTAAAAAAATAATGGTTAAGGCGTATAATAAGATGCATAGGTACATTCTCATAATTCTCATAATAAATAAACAATATGAATACCTGAAAATGGTAAATACTAAATTTGCATTGAATACTTAATATTGTGTATTTACTTGATTACCCGTTCTTTGATTAACTTAATAAAATTAATTAAATTTTTTACATAAATCGATTCAAATTGTAATAGGTATTATTTTTGTAGATCGGAGATATTTTTCAAATAGTTTTATGAATAATGGACTAAGTATTTGTTATGACAGTTGTATTATTTCAGAATGATATACATCGAGACAATTTTAATAAAATTTCGGGTGGTCTAGTTGAATTTAATTTTTTATTCTTTCTTTCTAATTTCCACGAAGTCTCCTTTAGATAGCATCTGTGATAGTATATTTATTGTGTAATTAAATCTTATATTAGATTTGTATATTTTAGGATACAAATCCCATCGTAAGTGAATCACAAGTGCTACCATATAATACTTTGCAAACCTTTCCTCAGCAACAATTACTTCAAAATGATGAGGCTAGTTTACAAAATGGATTAAGTTTTCAGCAAGGTGCTGTGCCATTACAAATAAACCAATTCCCACAAGCCAATAACGAATTCACCAGCAATTTAGTTCAATCGCTAACTGGTAAATTTAATATAAAACTAATAAGAACGTTTACAACACATAGTAAAACTCTCATAAGCTTACGTTATTTAATGGTTAGCCACATTTTAAGGAAACAAAACTGATTTAATTTTATGAGAACTGCATATTAATACGTATGAGCTTATACTTATAGAGACCTAGATCTATTGAACTGATTGAAAATTTCAGTGATGGATCTTATATACGTATGAATAATGATCTATCATCAGTAATGGGAAAGTTCTTAAAATTAAACTAGTTCAAGTTAAATTTTCTTTAATAAAATATGAACTAATTCAAGTTCAATTTTATTATAGTGAACTTTTCTTTTAAAATTTATGAAAAAACTAAACTAATTAAGAAATTAAAAACATTTTATAAAATAAAATTTAAACTTTTTTCATGCTGGATTTTGAAAATTCATCGAAAAAATAATTCATTCGCATTCTCAAGGATTAAGCTCAAAATCATTGAATGCATTTTCACTCGTTTTAAATTAACTTCACAATTAATTATTTTTTTTTTAAAGAATGAACTCTTCAAATTTTCAAAGAAAAACTACACACATTAAAAAATACATTTATACAGAGGGAGAATTTTAAAAAAATACGTAAGCTTCTTAGATATGTATGTTACAATTAAAAATGTAAAGTTGATACCTTTATAAGGTATAAATGTACAATAATATATATTATAAAAATGTATGTTATTAAGAAAAAAAATTTCTTACCAATACTTTAGTTTTGTAAATATTAGACTGAGTTATGATAAATGAATCATCCAATATGTTGTTTAGAGATGAAAATAATATATATGTATATTTAAGTTTTATCAAAATTGAAAACAGTTATTTTTATAACTATTCTATGAATGCTTTATTGTATTCAATTAAACGTTCATATTCATAATTCATGCTGTAAAAATTGAATGTACTCATGAATTCATTAATTTAAAAAAGGATGAATTCATACGAATGCATTCATGCCAAACTATGATTTATGACTATGAAACTAACCACGATCTCATTATGATTTTACCATGTTCAAGATATAATATTATTTAAAAATGAATTTAAAATCAACATTTATTTTAAAAACTAGGTATTTATTTATTTTTATATAAACTCAAATGGACAAATGAACAAACCAAATACGTTGACGTTCATACTAAATAAGAACTAAGTTCATGTTCAAGTTATTTTCTACAATTTAAATGTGTTTGTGTATAGTTTATATAAAGTTAACACAAGCCCATGAACGCGTTCATATGAACGTTTTCTTTCCCATCACTATTCATTACAATTAGAGCGCGAAATTTTATGCATTTATTAATTTCATTTTAGCTACTTTGTAGGGTCTTAAGTTTGTGCAACTTTGTCGTAGAATTATATAGTAGCGTAGAAATATTTTTCGTTTTAGAGGTGGATTAACTCCTCTAATATCCCTCAAAATTATAATATCGGTAAAAACACATTACTAAGTTTTCAAGTCAATTAATAGAAATTTGTAGTGGCTGATAGTATATTCCGAAAAACTTAACAAAATTTATAAATGCATATATAATTCCACGCTCTAATTATAATAGTTCACTGTAATAATAAATAAGAATAGTTTTCAACTAAGAAAAAATATTTGACCTTAGGGTTTTATAAGTAACTTACTATTGCGTGCATCAATTAATAATTAAAAAAGGAAAAACTTAAAAATAATTTGATTATTTCATATTTACTTCAATTAGAAATTTATTAGTATACTAATCTTTAAGACAGAAATATTGCAAATGAAATATATTCATTAGGGATTGACAATTTAAAAAATTAAATCAACATTTTTAAATTACATAGTTATCATGACTTAAAAAAATAATTTAATAGATTGTATTTTATAATATATTAAAGATTAATTTTTCTAAACCCACTAATGATACAAAAATTATCTTCAATATAAGGTATGTCCCAGACCTAAAAATAGCCAATGAATTAAGTGATTTAACAAAATAAAAGGAAATTTTGTTTTATTATAAAAAAAAATATTTATGTATAAACGATTTTCTAAAGGCACGATATCTCTCTTTAATATTCTCTACATGTCCTAGATAAATAGATAATGGTGGCTAAAATTTTGCAGAAAGTAAGTCAAATGAATGCTATCTTTTTTATAGAAAAGGTTAGCTTTAAAAATAAATAGCTTAATCCTTTCAAAAATCAAATGTATTTTTGAATCTTTTAGTTTAAAGGTGAACCAAAATATTATTTTATTAATTCAGTTTTTGGTAAAATATATATTTTTATAAATATATTAAAGCATATCATAAAGATAAAATTATATATGATTATATAGCTGGAAATGGTGCTCAACAAGAAGGTACTGTACCAGGATACTATTATTATTTTGTTCCATTGAACAAGGATAATCCCAATGCGTTGTTGAACCAGGGTGACCAGTTTCAGGCGAACCAAAATTTTAACTCCAACCCGAATGATTTACAACAGTTATTCCAAGATACCCAACAGTCTCAAGTTTCTAAACCCTTTGTGGACCCTTTGTTTAAAGCTATGGCTGGATTTGTGGGTGTAGCTGTAGTGTTTCTTAGTGCTATGATATTTATACCACATTTTGGACCATTGCTTCATAAAAAATCAGTATTGAAAAGAGCACCAGAAGAAATTGCTACAATTACCAAACTGGTAGCTGAATCGATCGATGGCAAAGATTGCAGCGAACGAATTGCCTGCGAGGTTGGCCGAGCAATGCGGTCATTGCAAGTTGGGCCTAAACCAATCAAGTATTATTATTATTATTATTTTTTTTATACGAGTACTGAATATATTTGAAGGGTATATGGAAACAAAAAGATAAATTTTTGGTAAACTGCAAAAATCAAATTTTAAATTTCAAAACGCCATATTATTTAACAGTGCACCATGACTTTTGAAATCAATTACTATTGAAAAACCTACTTTTTCTACTAGTTCGTCGGCTTAAAAAATACATTATGACATATCAAATATTTTGAAAAAAATTGACTTGCTTTGTTTTTCCGTGTATCCTTCATTTAAAGCAAAAAAATATGACAACTAGGGTTTTAGATAGACCACTACATTTACATCAGTTTAATATTGATTTATTTAATAGTAATATCATTATATCTATTAACAATTGGTAGAGATATGTCTTGACTAATCATAGTAACATTTATACCAGTACTTTTTAAACAGACCTCATACGCAATTATTATAAATCAACTTATTGACAATATTTTTAGATTAATGGAAATAATGTTACCGCCTGGAATTGCAAAACAACTAGCTCAAATAAGACGATCTTCATTGAAAAAAGAAGAATGTCATTTCATCACATGTAAAAAGACTGATAATATTATTAAACTAGTGGCAAAATTAAAAAATACTAATTACAGTAGTAATAAATTATTAAAGTTGTCATAATAATTACTGATTATAAAAATAACTATTTTTTAGTAATAACATAAATTTGTTATAAGTAATATATTTTTATAATACTTAAAGTATACATTAGTAGGACTAATCATTAAATTTAAAAGGGATAGTTTTTGCTGGAGTTACATTGGTTCAACAATTTGAAATGTTGCACCCATGTGAACTAGCTAAAACACTTTTTAATAGAAATGTTTCTATTTTTAAGTATTATTACTGAATGTATACATTGGTTGAATTGCATAAAGTCAATAATTATAATTATTTAGAATTTATTTTAATTTTATAGAAAATGAATATTTGAGTATGATATATTATACTTAGATATTAGTAAGACACTGTGTGTTTATAATTTATTGAAGATAAACTTAAGTTCTCATATAAAAAATAATCAGTTATTTATTAAAAAAGTTTAAATATAAACAATAATAATTTATATCAAACAAATTTTCCTGAAGATTGTTTTTTGTACTATTTATAAATATACAAATTTTATAAATCAAATTGTAAATAGTTGTATTTTGTTTAAAATTGTGAAAATATATTGTTTGTAGTGTATAATTTGTTACTAGCATCATCTATAAGCAGTCAATCTATATTTTTGTTCCATTTCTCGGTTTCTAACAACTGTATATATTGCACTACCTCCTAAAACAATAAAGTTTGACAGCCACCATAATGTTGATTTCCATTCACTATACCAATAAGATGCTATCACTGTTTGAAAACAAGCTTTGGCTGTACCAGAAATATTGTGAGTCAATGGAGATGTAACCTAAAAAAATAATAAAAGGATTTTATTTAATATTTGTGTCTTATAGGGTAAAATAATCAAGTATAAACATAGTGAAATTGTTTCATTTTATTATCTTAATAAGTGTTCATACCAAACACTTTTTACAATATTTTAATTTCTTTTTCATTGTTCAATTATTAGGAATTAAAAAATAATAATCTAATGTAAATTGGTCAAGGAGCTTACTTATAATAATAATACAAATCAAATTTTAACTTAAAGGGACTAATGTTTACCCCATAACGGCTGTCTGTAATTGGAACTAATAAAATTAATTCAGGTCTGTTTTAATACTTAATACTCAAACTTACTTGTACTTGAAGAGCTGTGATATAACCAATAGAAAGACCACATAGTCCTCCTACAATCATTAAAAGTAGAAACTTATAATCTGTCAATTTGCTTAAGTTGCTAATTTCTTGAAATTCAACAATTAATAGTGGAATAAACAAAACACTTGCATATACATTATTATAATAAGATAGTAACCAAATCTTATTGTTAACAAAGGGTAAAACCTTTTTAATTTGAATAGAGTAATATGCAAGAGAAAAGGAACTAAGAACACCAAATACTGTACCAACTAATGAAAATGAACCTGAAAAAATTTAATTTTTGCCTTACAAGGGTTATTAAAAATATAAATATAATATTTGTCTAAGTTTTTAAGTATAACAATGTCATATTTAATTCATAAATTTCAATAATTATCTTTGACTGTATTACACATCTTAATATTGAGATATTTAACTGCAAAGATAGGACTATATGATTTTTTTATTAGTTTTTATTTACATTTAATATATTTAAATACCTATATATTATCACAGATATTAAAAACGAAATAATAAACTATTTTAGTATTAATTAAATATTAATTTATAAATAACAGTTCCTTTAAAAATAGTAATGTAATTATTATAATGATAACGAGGGTCAGGATTAAAGAAACATTAATCAATTTCTTCTTTCTCAGAAGAATGAAATTCAGAGAAATTTTTAGAGTTCTTGATAATATAAATAAAAAAAAAATATATATATATATATATATATACCTTTTAATAACATTAATAATACACCATTTTTAAATAAAAAATTATTTTATTTATTGGTTAAAATACACTAATAATTGAAAATCCCAATTTTGGTTAATATACTCCTTTAATTATAAATCTTCAGTAAGATAATATATTAGATAATTATTAGATGGAAATAAATTACCTAAACTAATATGGCTAATTACAGTAAGAGAAATAGTTAGGTAATTAATAGCAACCCCAAAATTTAGACTGAATGTGTGCTTATGTTAATGAGTCATTAAAATTATATAGGAATAATATAAAATGTTACCTATATTATTATATAGAATGTTCAAAAAGTAAGATAACAGGTGAATTATTTAAAACACAGATTACAGACTATATAATTTTTTTTTATACAATAGCATATATCAAAAAAACATTTTATAAAGAAAAACCCATAATAAAATATATAATGTTTATTATAAATATTATTTATATTTAATAAATTAATTTACTTATTACTAGAATAGAACTAATTACCTGAGATATTTTCTTGATCAATTCCTAAAAAAAAACCAAAAATAATGATAAAACAGCAAATAAAACACTTTTTTGATGTGACTTGACCTAAAATCAAATAAAGAAAAATAATTATTTAATACACGTCAAAGAATTACAAAATTTATTTTACTTACCTATACATTAGTAGGACNATTTAATACACGTCAAAGAATTACAAAATTTATTTTACTTACCTAGTATTAAATAAGACAGTATAACATTGAATACAGTGGTAAGTGATCTACCAACATAATAAAATGTAACACCAACATATTTTAAACAGTAATTATTTGTAGTAATCATTAAAATGAATAATACTGATAAAGGCAACACCTGCAATATGAATAACAGTAAAAATAGTAAAGTATTAATGTCTGTATAAATAAATTTAATGATTTCCAAACATCAACAAGTACACAAAAAGGGAAAAAATTCTGAAATAATGAAATATACTTTCTATTTTTTAGTTTCTAAAATTGCTAATACAAAAAACAATAATTGTAATATGATTAAATTTTTCTTTAAGAAAAACTCTAAAACTTATAAAACAGAAAATATATTGTCACTACATTGAGTTTTTCTAAAGTAGTAATTAAAAATAAAATGAAAATAATTGTATCAGGTCACATATTCATCAGGTCTATATTTATAATGCATATAAAAACATTTTATATATTAAAATGCTTGTAACTCAATAATTACTCTGTGTACATTTGAATTTTATAATATATACAAATGTAATAGAACATATAAAAATAGGTCTGACAGTATAATAGCATTTTTTTTTTTTTTTGAAATTTTAAAATGTTTAAAAACTTATATTAATTTAAAAAAATAAGATAATTCTATATTATTAATTAGTTAATAAAAATAGAAATTGATAATTTTTATTAATTTGATACCTTTTATTATTTTTTGCATAACTTTAAAAATATAAACAAGTAAAGAATATATATTTTATAAATACAGAGTGTTTGATTTATCAAAAGTCTCTAGATTATTCGTAGAATAAATACAGTAGTGGGATACATTTTTTTTAAATTTTTAGTTAACATATATTTCTTGATTTATCAGCTATAAATTACTTTTCAGAACCATCCCTTACAACTTATAGGAGTGTCAATTTTTTTTTTTTAGGCAACATATATAATTATAAGCTTATTTAATGGATAATGAAGTAATTAAGAAAATTACAGGTGATAACAACTTTTGAACCAGTATTTTAGAAATTATCAACAATTTAAAGTGATGATTGGTGTTCAGATTGGGTGCTGCTATTTTTAAAACTAGAAATTTACCGGCCATATTTATCCTCCTATCTAGGCATAAAAATGAAAATATTTCTAAAATAATAGTCCAAAATTTATTATTAACCTATCATTTTCTTAATTACTTGATTATCCATTAAATAAGCCAATAAATTATACACATTGCCTTAAAAAGCAATAAAGTTGACATTCTTATAAGTAATATGGGATAATCGTAAAACGAAATTTATAGCTGATAAACCTTGAAATATACATAACTAAATAAAACCAAAATAATTTTTCCTATTATTATATTTATTTTACGATTTATCAAGTGGTTAAAGATAAATTGATCATCCTGTATAGTTATAAAATTAAAATTATTTGAATTTTTAAATTTCTGTAAAATCAGACTTACATTTTTAATAGTTATCCAATGAAATGGATTACCTTTCGGAAATTTAATTAATTTTGGAAAAATCTTAGACAAATTACTTAATATAAAACAAATAATAGCAGAAACCAAACACTGGAACCACGCAATGAATAATGGTGCATTCATATCCAAATTATTAGAACTTAACAAAGTTTTATTTACAAATACTGTTAGGATTGAAACATACCTAAAATATAATTTAATTTATTTAATTATTGAAACAAAGACATAATACAATTTTTATTTTTTGAATAAACCGATTATTACTAACCAATATAATACAACAACCAGAAATATTTGAACATATTTCATCAATAATGTATCTTCAAGCATTTCGACCATAATAATTCATGAGTTTAAAGAAATATAAATTCTATAGTGATGTATTACCATTCCAGAAAAAATGTCCATTGTATTTTTTTTTTAATAATGTTTGAAAGTTTAAAAACTAGTTTCTATAAAATTAAACTTAAATAATATATGCTTTAATGTCTGATTGTTCAAAATATTTATAATACCTATACTCAAATTTAGTTCAAAAATGAAATTCTCTGTTTTTTTATCACATCGACTAATGCCGGATCTAGTATCATTATAAAGCAAAAAATAATTGATAAGTATTATCAATATTAAAAAAATTTGCTTTCAACGAACATAATTTTCTTTTATAAATTCAGAAATTATTATTATACCATTATTTTGGTCCAAATTTAATGGACAACTATTAAATATTTATTGGAATCCAAACACTTTAATAATACACGAATAAATCACCTCATTAAAGTATTAATATGTTATTATCAAGTGTTTCTCGTAGATTAATAAATTCTTTTATGCTAAACAATATTTGCTCACAATGTATCCAAAAACAATCTTTAGTCTTAACCAAACAGTTATTCACATACTCTTGGGTCCGTCAAAATTCCAGCAGCAATAAAAAAAATGAAGAATTTATTAAAACTTCATCTGATAAGTATAAAGTATTTAAAGATGATGAATCGATGGTTATTTTAGATATTGAAGAAGAACGTGCATTACATGAAGTTGATCATAGAGAACTGAATCAAGATTTTTTTGAAAAAGATGAATTTTCTGGTCTTAATATTACACGTAAGTCATATAATGAATAAAAATAGTTTAGTCTTCAAATGTAATCATTAAGAGAAATTACCAATACATACTTATCATGTACCACTTGATTATTCGAAAACTAATAATAATAATATTAATTTTTTTCAATGATTTCTTTTAGTTCTATGTTTTTCTTTATGTATCAATCATAAAAAATTGTTTATGTTCATCTAGTTATTTAAAATTATTTTAAAAAATTATTGTAAAAGAATTATTAATATTATTTTTATTATTCAATTATTTAGACGGTTCATGATAAGTGAATCATTCTGTATATTATATATTTATTTGGTTAGCTCTAAAATATAGTTATTGTAATTCTAATTAAAATAAAAAAATTATTACATTCAATTGCAAAATTTTCATTTTGAGAAATTTATAAAAAATTAGTTGGTAACAGGTGTAAAAAAATTGATTTTATTATGTACATAATTTTATATAAATTATTTATGTATCTTGCTTTTATTTTTGTCTTTAATCATAGTCATTACTATAAAATATTTTTTCCTTATATAGTTCTTGTATAAATGCTTTTAGGTGGTGTTTCTGGAGTGTATGAAGTAGAAGATTTAGTAGAAGTATTAAATAAAGATAATGCTATAGATATTTTTGTAGCTTCAGTTCCACATAATGTAAGGTATGTTGATTACATTGTTATTGCATCTGGAAAATCATCTAAACATTTAATGGCAATTGCTGAATTTGTTATCAAATTGTATAAAAAGAAACGAGGGCCAATGGATCTTATACCAAGAATATTGAACAAAAAACCAACTGACTGGATTGCATTAGATTTGGGTAAATTTCTTAATTTTTACTTAAATATTTTAGAATTTAATATTTGTCTTCTAATATGATTCTAACAAGGAGATATTCCCAACATAGAAACATCTCTTTGTTACTAAATTAAATAATTTTCTCTAACTTTTTCTGTTTTTAAATTTTAGATAGCATGTTTAATTTAGTTGGTAATATCTTGTGCAAGGTATAAAGGTTTAATTCTATTGTTGCAAACTATAAAGGTTTTCATTTCTACCCAAAAATTAAATTATTTACTCCAAACAACATTGTATATAAAATTCAAAAAATAAATTTGAAAAAATATTTTACAAAAAAGTTTTTATTATATCATATTTAAACTTTGATATATAGTTTTTAGTATTAATTAAAAAAAAAATTGACGTATTTATGTTTTATTCTCACCTATAATTTAAAAATAAACATAAGACATACAATCATGTCTGTGAAAAACTGAAATCTTTGTCAAAATGTTTTATCAAATTGTATCTAATAATATTAATTTTGGTCTAAATATGGAAAATTCTTGTTCTAAATATTCAATTGTTTAAATATGTTTAAAGTACAAAATAATTTAAGAAATGGGAATATGAAAGGTTTTAATAAATAGTTTGAAAAATTAAGTAATTAAGCTCTCTTAAATACGTTGATAATGAATATTTAGTCACATAAATTAAAGCAACATTGCATCAATAAATATTTTATAATTTAATCTTATTATATAATGAATATTTTTGTATAAATCAGGTAAAATAACTTGGAATGGTGATATAATAAGTTCATAAATATAGATCGTGTATATAGACCTGATTTTAATTTTTTTATAATTTATGTATTTTTAAATACCTTAAGTATTTAGGATCAGTTTTGCAAAATAATGGTGGTATTAACGAGGATATAAGACACGGTTTTAAGTAGGGTGAGTGAAGTAGAGAGAAGCGTCAGGTGTATTATGTGATAAAAGAATTCCAATGAAGAAAAAGGCAAGTTCTATAAGACTATAGGGAAACTAATTATGTTGTATAGGTCAGTTAACAAGAAAGTAGAGCAGAAAATGAATATAGGAAATATAATAATGGATGAATGGAATGACGAGAGAAGATAGGATAAACATTGAATATGTAAGAGAAACCCAAGGAGTAGCGTCGATCGTGGATAAGATAAAAGAAAATAAGTTTAGTTGGTTTGGTCATATTATAATGAGAGAGAAATCGGAAGCTGTAAAAGCAATTATGAAAATGAACGTTGAAGGAAAGCCCTTGAATGAGCGTTGGATATAATTGGGGGTGATGTGAAGATTGTTGGTATGTGTATAGATGATGTGGAAGATCGTATCTAGTGGAAGTTTGAGATATGGGTGGCCGATCCTAAGTAGTTGGGAAAAGGCAAGGAAAAAAAGGAGATTGAATAGTTTTTTCTAGATTACTGTGGTGTTGGACAGTTAATTTTCTAATAAGAAAATTAGAATTATAGTTAAAAAAAAAAACAAATAAATGAGGGGAGTAATATTGAATATATCACAGTCAAAATGAGCGCCGTCGATCGTCTTCTGAATATCAAAATAATAAAAGTTACTGACATTACTGTTTTTAATCACATATTATGTGTGTAATTATTTATGACAAATTTTAGTATACATCGTCTACGTGTTCAAATCAAATTTGTTATTCATAAAAAAAATCTATCATTATTTAATACTTTTACATGGCTAATAAGAAAACCTATTTTGCTGTTTACAGAACCATCAAGGTTGTATCTTACTAACATACGCCACTGTGCAGTGGCGTTAACAGGCTTGAGGGGACTAAAAACCTTTTTTTTGTATATTACATATTGTTACTAGCGCTTAAGTCAAATAATGTTAATAGTATTCATTTATAATGGGAGGGACTATAGATCATTTAGCTCCCCTTTAGTTACGCCATTAGTTATGCTATGTAACATATATTAAATATACTAAAATTAAAAAAATTAATTTTTTTATTATATTAAAAAAGTGGCGTAGTCAGGAGACCACCGGTACTTTTCCCTATTGACCATAATATTCATTCCAAAGTAATGATCAAAAAGAAGATCTCAATATGGTTTATTAAGAAATTTTTTAATTATGTATTGAGTGAATGTAACAACTCAATACTAATTGTGCCTATGTTTAACATCATTAGTGTACTATGATATTTAGATGAAAGTAGATTGAAAGCAATAATCGATGAGAGATATGTTTTGGTGCATTAAGAATTATAAGTTGGCAGTAGTCACGTGACTAGATCTAGCGAGACTACAGTTACTTGTGACAATATAATGATCGAAGATTACCATAGTCTTTTGTAGTCGTTTTTCCTGGAAACGTTTACTGAAATGTCACATAGATACTATTGTTTTAAATATTTTAAATGTTGATGCCTCTGCTCATGAGCATCATGTTTTTTGTTTTTCATGTTAGTTCATCTAGAGAATTGATTCTAGTTATAGAGAACATCAAGAACATCTCACTCTAAACAACAATAGTAAAAAAAAATGATTTATTTATAATATATATATTTATCTATTGTTATCACCGTATAAAACACTATTTGATTTATTGGTTTTGAACTTCTTAACATCTAATCAATCATAAATAATTTGGATATTTTATTTTTTGTTATTTGTAAATTTTAATATTCGTGTTATTTTGTCATTCTTTATTCCTATTCTTAAACGTTTAAAGAAAGTCAACCATACTTTATCAAATAGAAATACTTAGTTCTTCTACAACTGAAGATAGTATTTTTATAAACATCAAACAATTTTTATTGTTAAATAATTTTTGAGAAATTTTCTCTAAAAAAATTAGCGAGAAAAAATCAAATTTTATTGATACAATTATTACTAGATATCAATAACTTTGTTGTTCTGTATTTTTTTTTTTATAATAATTTTGAAAATCTATAAATTGGCTCAAGAACTGTTGCTTAAAGTTTACTTTTATTTACATACTGTCTTTAATCTAAATTTAATATATTTTTATTTACAGGTAACATAGCTCTACATTTGTTAACTACAAAATCAAGAGAAAACTTTGATTTGGAAACGTTCTGGAGTGTAGGAGAGAAGTACGATACTCTTATCAACGCCCCCGAAGATTCGCTTGTCACCCTATTAAATGAGAATTCGTTCAGCTTGGATGGACTGGAACCTCGCGTCGATAGTTCTCAGCAAAATAATTGACTGTAACAAATAAATAAAAAAATCGATAGATAGCATCAATTGTTTTTATTATAAATTACTTGTAAAAAAATATATTAAGTTTTTCATTATTATTTTTCTATTGATTTTGTTATTATAGAGCATATTATCTCGTATAGTTGCTTAAAATAATGATGTTAAGCAACTATATGACTTTTGTTAGTTATACATGTATACATGTATAGTAATCGAATATAAAATAACTACAGAATTTGATGTACACTTACTAAAGCTCGGGGATAAAAATTTAAACATGACCCCTTAAGTATCAGTTTTTTGTAGTTTGTGAAGAGGTGATCCAATAAAAAAATGTTAAGACGCTCTCGATACATTTTAAACTAAACTACGATTAGTTATTTTATTTTAAGTCAGCAAATTTACACAAATATTTCAATTTTTTGTTAATTACTTTTAGAAAAAAAATACCCAGCACAGTGGGGACGTGGCATAGTTGTGTCCAGTATAGATGATATCTGACAGTGATTAAAATCACTATCATAAAAAGAACTTCTATGCAAATCTAATGCAGATAGTGTTTAATAAAAAAAAAAAATGGTGATTTATTCTAAAAGCAAATGATCTCATATTTCTTTATTTGTATTCTGATTACAATTTTTATGATTTATTTTTCAAAAAGTTATAGCATTATAAAATAAAAAATGTAAAATATAAAATCGAGATTTTTAACACAAAAATAGCATACGGTAGCTATTTTTACCATGAAGACAAAATAAAGTTCGAAACTTTTCTATAGCAAAGTATATTACATAATCTTTAATTTAAGATATATATAAAAGTGTCAGTATTTCCGGAACACTTTCAAAAATTAAGTTAAAAAAGTTGAATCCTCCCCTGTGAGCAGGTGAAGTATCAGATTTTCAAAAAAAAAATACCTGATATATCTATAAAACAAAGTTTTGTTTCTACTCATCTATTTTTAAAAAAGTTATAACACTTTTAAGAAAAAAAAATGTTGAAAATTAGCGATTTTTAAATTTGTAATTTTTTGGGAGATTTCTCACAATTACATAGAAGGAGGAAAATGTTTTCAATTTTTGAGGATATTGTCTTTGAGTAGATACGATTTGTCATCTTTTGACGTATCGTTGAAAGAATTCGATCCGAGGAGAGCTGAGAAAAAGTGGCAACAGACATAAAAAAAAAAAAAAAAATCATCATGGTAAAATTAATATTTTCTCAGCTTCGCATCGAAGCTAAAATTGAAAAGAATGTCGAAAATTAGCGATTTTTAAATTAGTAATTTTTTCTGGGATTTCCCTCATCACAAGAAACGAGGAATTTTTTTTTAATTTTTGAGTCCAATGTCATCCATTTGAAACGATTTGTAATATTTTAACACATTGTTCATCAGAATCGGTTAAAAGGTAAATTAAAAAAAAAAAAATCATAATACAATTAATACCTTCGCATCGAAGCTAAAATTATAAATAAATTGTGAGTTCGTCCCTTAAATCTCGAAATCTAAAAACTATAGTTCCCTGACACTTATCCGTGTCAAAGCATTTAGGCAAAATCTTACAAAAAATACTATACAATTTTTGTGAAATTTTATAAATTAAAAAAAAATTTAGCTTTTGTTCGCCTTTTCCTAAACAAAAGACTAAGCAACATAGAATTCGAGTATTATCAAGGAGTAATCAGGTTTAATTCTTGTATAAGTCTCGTATTCAAAATCTATTGTGTTTATTGATCTACTCAAATCTTCACAATATCTATCAAATGATAGGACAAATTGACTTTTCTCTTATCTACACCTAATAAAAAAAAATTAAATTAAAAACGATATTCTTTAGGTGATTATTGTTTTTCATAATGCACTAATATAATATATAAGACGTGTAGTGTATGTGCTGTAAAGTGAATAAGAATTAACCAAAAATAGCTTTATCATTCAACTAACTATTGTCTACAATACCTAATTAGTTTATTAATGAACAAAGTAGATTAACGACATATAATTATAATTATTATTTATTTATTCGTTCATTTATAACATCTTCCCTAAAAGATATTGTTTGTGTTAAAGAGGACTAGCGAAACGAAAATGAATCTCCGTTACACACGTACAGAGGCACAACGCGTTACCGACCGAGTTAGGTAGCCGCCAACCTATACAAGTGCATTATTAGTTAATAATGAATGTATAATAAAAACAATTATAATTTGTATCATTTTTGTGAAGAATAATCAAAATAAATAATAAAACTTATCAACATTTATCTTAATTAATTTCGGCTAATTCTGATTCATTATTCAATTATCAAAAATAATAGTTTCCTATTGAATAAGAATGAACTATATTTATGTTAATGATTCCATTAAAAATTCAAATTTGCATATAAATATATTGTTGTATAACTTCATTCAGTTTATTAATTAACCAATAAGTGTGTAGTTTCTACGTATTGATTTTTCTAATAGAATTCTACGCGAGTAGTTTAAACGATAATATTAATGTAAAAGTCCTTTCCGGTTTGACTCTTGTACAAAAGATAAAAAATTACACGTATTCATGAAAATGCCCTCCATTCTTTCGTTGTTCACACGGCAATCAGCAATCGCTTTAAACTTGCGTTTTTATAATATAAGAAAATACCATTTCAGTCATGCAAACTTAGAACAGAACTACAAAAAAAAAAGCTCGGTTACTCTTTGTTAAAAAATGTAACTTTACCTATTCTATATTTTATCAATTTCAATGATAAACGATAACGTAAACAAAGGAAAACCAAAAATAGTTGATTCAAAACGTTTCTATAACCCAGTAGCACTAACTAAAAAAATAAGTACGCAAGGCAAAATTAGTTTTAAATTCAAAATACCTACTTACCCCTCAAGAATTGCAAGACTTTCTTTTTTTTGCTTTTCAATCTTTCAATAATTAGAAAAAATTATTAGGTGCATAAATTTTATACCAATATTCATTGTTGAATAATAATTCGATAATTTTTTTGAAAACTTTACTTTTTGAAAAAATGTTAAGCCACACAAATATGTATAAAAAAAATTATAGGCTGGATTGTATTTAATAAATTTAACAAAGTTTTTTTACTCGAATTTTATTACAATCATTAGGCAATTAATAACTCGGTAGTATTTATGTATTCTGTCTAGTAAATTTTTGATAATTATTATGATGAATTCTATTGAATAGAAATTGATATTCAGGTTATAACGTTTTAGTAATTATATTTATCAAAATTAAATAGATTACAGTCTTCAAATTTATTAAGATTTTAATATACAATCATCCATCTTTTTCTTTTTCATCGCCTTAATCCCAACTACTTGAGGTCGGCCAAAATTTAATAATTAATCATTTATATTTTAATTAGTTATAATGCTTTTTACATAACAAATTCCAACTAACTACTCACCTTTTTTGAAGGTCGGGCAGTTGCCCTAGTTGAACTTAAAATCGGCGTCACTATTATAAAAACGTCGTAAAACGAATTCATGACAAATTGAATTTAAGATGGCGGTATAACTTATAAACTTTATAGAGTATAAATTATTTGAAAACCATCAGTAAATCGTTATGCTTTAAAAATAAATAATGTTAATCAGAAAATGATCTAAGTTTTATTGAATTATTCCTAAAAATTCGTCAGCTTTTATGTAGTTAAAGTTTGAAATAATTAAATAATCTGAATTTTTTCGAATCTTTGCTGTAAAAGTACATTAAAATTGCATATGTATACAGTTGTATTAGGAGGATAAAAAAATTAGAAAATTCATCGTTAAAATGGCCTATTAATTCCTTTAATAGCTAATTCGTCAACTTAATTTTTAGAAATATTAGATATCTTTATAAAAAAAAATTAATATATTTACATAAAAAAACTTATGTTTGCTAAATAAACATTTAGCAAAAAATTAAGTTATATAAATTGATATAGTTTATGTCAGGTTAAATAATGAATTTTAAACAAAGAATAAAAATAATGAATTATTCAAAAACATAATACTATCAACAAATTTTTTTTTCAATATTTTTATAATGTAAGGTACTTAAGTATTATAAGAGAAAAACTATGATATATGCGTTTTATATTAATATAAAAAGTAATACAACATTCATAAATATATCTAATAAAATTCCTTATAAAATTATTTATGTTTAAATTAGCATTTTTAATGTTTTTTTTTGCAAAAATTCTGCAAGCCTCAATGGTAAAATCGATAGAAAACTTATTTGGGCTTGCTATAAATCAGATTTGTATTTTAAAAGATAGCAATCTTTTAAAATACAACTTGTAGCCTTTAAATTTCCAAGTGCATCGTATATGTATTTTTGAATATTTCCATATGAATAAGAGCTCATTACTTACTCTGAAAAGCTTTTGAATATGAGTAGGTATATAATACAAAATGTGTACTTCCCAAAATACATTACATTTTATTCTGTTCACGGAATGCAAATAAAAATAATGGTTTGAATAATCCTACCACATCATTAAATTTAATAACTGACAAGTAAACAACTTACTTATTAACAATGGTTTTGGTGACAACCAAATATACGTAATGATGTTTTTTGTTCACCTCAGGAAACTTTATAGCTGATCAATATTTACAGTAAGAATCCCAATTTAATTGAGCTATTTTTACTTAAAAACCTCTTTTAATTTTGTTCATAATATCAATTGAAGTTATTATAAATCCTCTATCTGAAAATTTGTAATTTATTTCTCGCACTGTGTAACTTACAATAATCTGTCATGCGTTTTGTTCTTCAATATATCATTTATACATGAAGATATTGTTGTTGCGGTAAAAAACACAAATGACGTTAAAGATATTGTTATCCTGCGAATAGATATTTTATCAAGTTAAGTTAAATTAAATGATTTAATTATTGAATAAATAACAATCAGACTCTCTTTGACTTATTCAGATTTTTTATTTTAAAAGCACGCTTGGTCAATGAACACCTGGTTAATGCGGCCGGCTAAAAATATTAGTGTTATAGTCGTTAAAATAACTTTATCTGCCTAAAAGATACATTAATAAATGACAATAATAATATAAATATTAATAATTTAATAATTATTATAAATATATTAATAATTTAACGAGTATAAAAATAATCTAGAAATAATGATAATTTTATTTTTGAAAGAATTCTAGTTAAAACATATTTTTGATCAATTAAAACTTTGAACTCCAAAAACAAATCATATGAACAATAGATTTTCTAATAAATATTTAATGATTATTAAGCGACAAATAAATTATCAAGCAATTTTAGAAGTCGTATAACATCAATAATTTTAAAAGCAACTTTTTAAGCAGCCCGTTTACGAACGCATGAAAAACAATAGCTCTTACGGATACTGATTAATGTATCGTTAATGTCTTCCACATAAGAACCACAATTTTTCGAATGATGATCGTTTTCCTTCTATTACTACGAGTTTGTATTCTTAACTTGCAGTAACCGCAGTTCGGTCTCAGCAACCAACTCTAAATGAAGCAAACGGATGAACACCCACAAAGGGTTTCGACTTGCTGCTCTCGACGATTGTTTTTCTCGACTTAGGAGGTGTTCTGCGGTTGAATTATGTGTAACGCAGAATTATACATGGTGTATTGCAGACAGTGTACATACCCCTGTTGTAACTATTTTTTTATATTTTAATATGTAACTATTTTCTTTGGATATTCTACTGTTTTCGTGACAGCCCGTAATGCAACGTTTCGATTCGCTTTCTCCAAACAACGGCATATCCCAAGTATTTTTTTGGATTGATTATGGTCAATACTACACGACACTCGTTACATGCATTTCCGAATTTCTCTTGTTTTACATGCGTTGTCGGCGTTAATCGCTTATTATCGGAGTGCTGGTTTTTTTTTGTACTTTTCTATTTAAGCGTTAAATAAGCCGCCAACGACCATTGTAGCCGTACACAACCACTTAGTAAGCAGTTGGCTAAACAGTCTGAAAAGTCCGTCGAGGTACCAAATACATGTCGTCTAATGATCTCACGAGAGAAATATTATAAACTTGAATATAAAGGAATGGGTATGGCTCATCAAATAGTTGCAATTTTGTTGAAGTCATAAAATCAATCGGGTACTCCTTCGGCAGATTTTTCTTACTACTAATTCCAATGTTTTCTAAACAACCATATGGAACTTAAGGCATATTTTTTCTTAGCGCTGAAATGTCTATCATTAAAATATGTTATTGACAATAACTACTACTTGTTGGCGCATATTTATTTACTGTGTAAAATTTAAAATTACCACGATGACTCTTCAAGACTACTTTTGCTTAGAAATAATTATAATAGACACAAGTTTATTACTATGTACATAGTTCTAATATTTAGAATTATTTTCTAACTTTTGTCTTTGATTTTTTTTTAGTTAATTTACAGTATATGGTAACTGTTTACATAATAAACTATGAAAAAGCTCCTATCAAATCTTATACCATATGAATTGTTAAAGAAAAGATTTCTAAATACTTTTCTATTCTTTTAATACTCTATTTTTAAATTTTCAAATTTTTTTCAATCAAACAGATGACAAATTCATTGGTCAATATCAAATAACTCCAATGACATCTAACCCATTTCTGTACCTCTGCTATTACATGTAATTTGTATTGTGTGGACCGCGCGTGTAACTTTGGATGAATGATGATCAGATAGCACATGTTATTACAAAAAAATAATCTGATATTAAGTTTATATTGGTTAATATGGAACATATTACATTTATACATTTCAAAAACAATTGTAAATATGACCAATAGTAATAAAACTAGTGTAACATCGCTACATACTGTTTAAATCTTGATTGCTTTTAATAGAATAATTAATTTTAAATCGTCAACTGTGTTTTCGGGTGAAATTACTAGTATACATTATTTTCTGAAATAAAATAGTCATGAAATTACAACACATTAATTATACAAATTTTTAATAAACATTTTCCATGAAATGTATAAATATTTTTGTAAGGTATTTGCAGTGTAACCGATTTGCAATAATTGACACCGAGAGACTCACGATCTTTATAACATTCAGTCTGTGAATTCTTCCAGTGCCAAGATTTACAGATCGTTTTTTGAATGCAACACAAACGCAAGACTACCATGAAAAATAACCAGAGTGTCTCTATCCAATGACCGTTGATTGTAGTGACACTTTTTGATGGCGACCTCCATTTCATTCTGAAAACAATCATATAAAATACAATCGGATGAAACCATTCGTTGTTTGTTTAAGAGGATAATTAACGTAGCTAACGTCTCTCGATTCGACGAGCTTTGTATACATTTTAACTAATACAATAATAACAACATAATGGTCTTAGCGTTACTCTAAATAATGACGATTATTATAATAATATAACAATCTTGGTCGTTCAGTGCGCAACGGACTGGCTTTGCTTGGAAGACCTACGCAACAATAATAAGGCAGCGACCGAGAGAAAAAATAAAAAAAGAACCGCACGAATACGTATACAAAGATGCGCCTATAAACCTTCAGTATAATCACATGTATGATGTGTACACGATTCGGAAGTTTTAGGTCATTGACACTAATTAGTCGGGTACGTACACTTGCACGGTGTGATATGACTTAAATAGCGTATACCGCCTAATTTGATATTTTCAAATCAATTTCAAATTTTGAAATATACTTTTGAAAAATCATAACCAAAATATTTAAATACAGCACTTATATACAACTAATAAGACGAGATGATTATTTTTATGTAATTTTTGTCACAATACCGCCTAGTGGTATAAATTTGGTTTTACGCGGTTTTGGCGTAACAAATGAATAATGAGCCATTAAAATTATATTAGAAAGAATTTTAATCTTCTCAATTCATATTTATTTTTCAAAAGAGTTGAACCAGATATCATATCTTGAGTTAGGCGAGACAATTCATCAGTGCTTAAGTAATGTATTTTTATATCATTAAAAATTTTTTCTATTATTAATAAAAATAGTAGTACGGTTATATGAGTATTTGTAAAATTATCAGTATATTTATAAATTCTAACGTTACTTTACTAATTTTACTAAATTAAACAATAAAATCAACATCAAATTTTACTGACCTTTAACAAATAATTAATTTCGACATAGGAGAGATTTGACCCTTATATTCCCTCTTAGATTGTACGCCCTTAATACAAATATATATACAAAACCCGTTTTTTGCAAATAAAACAATCATAAAAATATGATAAATATTGAATAAAAATGATAAACTATATATTTTATTAGTTCACATTAGCGTAATTACAGGAAAAAGGAACTCTAGTGCAATCTATAAAATTCATGTAGGTAAAAGACTTAAAGCCAAATATTTGTAAAAAAAAAAATGTTTTATTAAAATAGAACAATTTTATGATAAATAAAAAAACATAAAACTCGTTGAATATAATCTTTAAAATGTCTTTTAGATTGAATAGTTAAGTTATTTTTATTTGTATGAATCTGCTTTTCAGCTTCATATTTAAGTCTCAAATTCCCAAAATTAAAAATATCTTGGGAGCTTTTGAAGATATCAATAAAATCATAGTTTGGTTGCTTCTGATTATTATTTTTTTAGTATAAAATTATTTAATTATTTAACACTACAGTTAACTAGATCTATTTGTTAAAAGTATTAATAAATGATAACATTTGTGAAATCCTTTTATCAATGTGCAACATCTTGTGTCTAACATTTATATAATGTAACATAATAATAAAGTTTATTAAATGATCATGCTGATATCCCGTTGTTTCATAGTGATGTACTAAAAGTAATTAAATTATTTAATTCATACGCTTTATAATATTTTTATAATAGTATTAACTTTGAACTAACTAATTTTATCAAAGGTTAAAATCGAATAAAATTTTTATATTGGACTTTGTATTTAATCATCAAAATTTTAATATTTATTTTTAAGTTTTTGTTTGGAGTTAGTATATATCAAATTTGGCATAACACAAAATGTCATAAAATATTAATGTACTAGTAGAAATATGTCACCAGTGATGGCACTGTTATCAGTATAGTCAAAAGGACGCTCATTGCATCTATACAACTGAAATTTTCATAATCCCATGTCTGATATTTACTCATCAGTTTGGTCGACTTGAGGAATTCGATGACTAATATTGACATTGGTGTATAAAGAATTTTACGCCTATGAAGTTTAACAAAAAAGTCTGTTCTATCTATTGTAAGATTATCATAGACGTGGTAAACAGCGGACGAGATTTTTATATGGGAATAAAATATATTTTTCAAGTGCTTAAAATTATAGTTGTATATCATAGAAAATGACTTATTGAAATCTATTACAAAAATTAGCCTGCATATTTGATACTACCTTATAGAAATTAATTTTATTTATATATTCCAATGGTGTTATATACAGCCGATTTATATATAAATTTACTTTGATTTCTATTGCAGTAAATAAACTAATTAAAATCAATTTACTATTGCGGCCTCAGTTACACATTACAAAGGTTTCACAGCTGAAGACATAGAAATACAACACAACGTTATGAATATCGGTGAAAATAATCTATAATTATGTAAATACTTTATCGTATGTAATAAACATTTTCATATTAATTAAAATTTTCGGTGAATTTTAATGAAATGCGAATAAGCATCGTTAATTAAAGTAAATAAATACCATTAAATACATAGAACAAATAGTTAATTCATTTTGGAATATTATTTACGGGAAAAAAATTTATATCCTGCTAATTGAAGTCAGCGAACTGTGCAAGTATAATATTACAAAAAATACGTACGAGTTTTTTTTTTTTTTTACTTATCCGGATATATATATATATATATATAAATAATACATTAATCCAAACAAATGTTCACGTCATTAACGTTTTAAGTGGTAGTCGTTATCATTAAAATCGTTAAGAATACTCGGTCGTAATGTCTGCAAGAGCACTACTATTTGGTCAGAAGTTGTTGTGAATAATTGAAGACATTATTAGTTGTAAAAAATTAGCTTGCAACAATTTTTAGCAACGGACCGTTTGTGAATTACGCAGACGCAGCAGATCATTTCATTCAAGTGATAGGATTTAAAGGGACCGAACCACTCGGTCTGCCACACAACCGAGTGCCATTCAAGATTAAGCGACAGACCGATAACATCAGCGCTGTTATAAAAAACAGTGCGCGAGGCTGCGTCCGGAATAAGACGACTGAGCAGCGACACGGTGTGTGTGTGTGTGTTTGCGTGCGATGGTCAGAGAAACGGGCCAAGAGTCGAGATGATAAATCGGAGGACTACCTACTCTTCTTCATTCGGAAGCACAGTTTATAATAACATGATACCGCTTCGGGTGCCGTTCCACTCGCACAGTCCACTCATTGTGTGTAATAATAATAATAATAATATAAATAATGTATAATGTACAGACATGCGACGTGTTTAGCGGTCTCGCCGATCGGTTAGTGTATAGAATCGTGTTTATCGCTCTTATTTTTATTCTGCTACTGCTCCGGCGGTACTTTCAATAGGTACACGCGTGAATAGGTTACACTGGAGAACACTAACGAGACTGTACTGATAACTTTTGTGAACGCGTAACGTGTGAATCTCAGTTGCCACAAGTGCTGAACTACAGCAGAGTGTATTCGAGATTTCATGGAACACCGACCCACCAACAGCGAGGTCGTAAACGTTCGAGACCTGCAAACGGCTTATTTGCAGGTGTGAACTTCTGCAGAAGAACCACTAGGAGTGCGAAACCGCGACTTTAACGGTTGTCACTAAACTACGTGAGGACCACGCGGTTTGCCTTAAAGTTTTACGTTTGAAAACCAAGTAAAGTTCAAGTTTATTGGACACTTTCGACACGAAGTTTAACACAAATTCATTTTAAAAATTAGAACATGATCTCAACTATTTTTTGACCAGAAAATGATGAAAACTCTTTCGAGCGACTTAAGGTTACAAGTTAATCTGACGAGGGTCATACGTTTTTAATCCCTTCGTCTTTATTTGTAATATAAAAATGGCAGCGTTTATGAATGTATTTTTAACTTCTTCACGAGTAGTTGTGCAAAAAGGAAATGCCACCAAGTACCAGAAACACAATGCGACCAGATAGTTTTGTTTTTTTTTTACGTAGAATTAGACTTATTTCTATGGACATTGCTCTTATAGTATAATTTTTAACGTGTTTACACGACTATTATGGTTTTTTTTTTTTATGTAACAAATTTATGTTTGGTTGATTAAGCGACTAGTGAATAAATAAACTGAAATAATTAATTCAAGTAAAATGATTGCTGATTATTATTATGTAAGCTCGTGATAATGTTTTAATTGATCATTTTGAAAACTTCTATTTTTAACAACAATGGTGTATTTCGCATTTTTTATTTAAACTATAGAACAATGAATGCCAATTCTATGTCTTCGAATTCCTCTCAACACCGTGTCATCAATTGTTTAGAGTAAAATTTAGTTCCATGCGCTTTTTTATTGTTTATTAATACTACTGTTATGAAAAAATAAATTCTAGCTGTTTTGCGTGTCATCTCAATTGAAAGTTTTTAATCGCGTTACACTAATGAACTGCTCTAAAATTACATACGTGGATTTTCTAATCTCTTATTTTGCCAGTAACATTTTTTTAAAGCACATTTCTCTAGAAAATAAATTTAAATATTTTCAATAGGACACATCTAAAATTACTCATTTAGTAGTCGACATTGTACATAATTATTAGTATTCCATATATTGTAATCGACTAAAAAATTGAAAATATTACTAACAATTGGAACTTTACATGCTTCATTTCAACGTTTTTATCTTTAAATAAAATATAATTTTAAATATGTGTTATATCAGAGAGAAACTAATTTTTTTTCTCGTACAAATTACACTTTATAATAACTGTGACTTGTCAATAAAACCTGCAACAATTTCTATGGTTGTGCTGCTCGGATGGCGACAATTGGGCGGATGGACGCGTATAACTACAGGTAAGCATAGTACAAGAGGTTATAACGACAGAGATACTCCAAAAATTATAGGGTTCAGCACCCTCGAACCCCAACTACTCATCTGGTCTGTGGCCGTTGCGACGNACACGTATAACTACAGGTAAGCATAGTACAAGAGGTAATAACGACAGAGATACTCCAAAAATTATAGGGTTCAGCACCCTCGAA